AAAAAAAAAAAGAAGAAAAAAAAAGGTAAAACACGCATGTTGATTTAGCCTGGTTTTGGCTTCTTGGCTTCTAAAAGACTTCCATTAATATTTACTGCGATGATTCAAGCTCCAATTCACTACTGAAAGTAAAGAAAAGTATCCTGTATTTCTACAAAAAGAGCTGTATTTTGGCTGCAATAAGGTAAGCCATCACGATGACTCGAGCTGCAATTCTCTGTGTAGTATTCATACTCAAAACAGCCTTCTTGGAGGTCGGTACTTATATAAAATTTGCTGATAACTGCATGTCAAATCCTGACCTAGAAATCTAATACACGATACACCTGCCTAGCATTTTTTCTTTCTTACGCCTGATGCAATTTGTTGCAAGTTCCCGTCGACTTTTGTCTAAAAAAATAACAAGATTTTTGCTGCTTGTCGAGATTAATTTTTTGTTTTAATCGAGTTACGTGGGAGACTTTTGTTAAATTGAACCTGAAAAAAAATTTGCGCAATGCAGCGCGACAATTGTCAAATTCAATTTTGTTCTTTTTAAGCCAATTTTGTACTAAAAACGTAATTRATATGCTAAAAAGGCCCGTTTTTGACCAATATAGTCTGAGAAGGTTATTGAAATAAAGGGTTTGATTGGATTAGAGCTGGAAAATATTTTATCTCCCGTCTAAATTTCCAGGCACATTGATAGCTTAAGGATGTATACAGAATTATTCAATGTATTTTTTTAAAGTAAAATCGCCAAAAGCAATCTTCATTTACGTTCAGATAAGAAAAATAACCCCAAAAATTGTTTCCATTCAAATAACCCAAGTAAATTATTTCACTATTCAGTTGTAAATGAATTTGTTAATTTGGCTTTTTCTATCGTTTAGTGGCGGGATCTTTCTCAATCAATTTAGTAATTGCTTTATTGTTTAGAGCTTCGTTGTTTGACGCGCTCTTAACCGTGTGTTTCCTCTAGCTTCTCCACAAGATTTCTGTTTTATTTACAAGTCATTTTGTATAAATATAACCTTATTGTTGTGTGGTTTCTTCGTGGGGTAAACGAATTATATCTTAATGTATTAAATCTAGAAGACAATCGTTAGCAAGAAGCCATTTAACTGTGTTGAAGTTATTTTCAAAGCAATTCATGATCTAGTTAAATTCTTCGCCTTTTCTTTACGATTAATTGTATTTACTAAATGAAAATATTTACAGGTAAAACTGTAAAATCGTACGGAAATCCTATTTGACATTTCGCAAATATAAGGTTTGTAATACAGAGATTGTTCATTCGGTCATAATTGGAAGGCCAAACATGACGTATTTGATAGTCATTGGTTAATGATATAAAACCCAACCGTTTCATCATACTGTTCACAGTACTACTCGGTTCCAGCTAACACCAAGACTAAGAGCTCCAAACGCAACTTATAGGTAAGTTAGAATACTTTAATTTTAAACCTCGGCTGTGTCTTGCTCTCTTTTTAGTATGCTTGATGTGGAGTTCGACTTCATAATCTTGACTTCAAATTTCCTTCACCGCGTGTATTTATCGCAACACTATAGCTGATCTAAGCGTTTTATTTTGTTGTTGAACTTGTTCACGGAAGCTTATTCTCTGTCGTTAGTCGGGTTCCGAAACCATATCTGGAATTTCTATCTCATTCTTAATGAGTTCCTTTAATTGGTGTTTCTTTTGGAATGGATTTTATCTCTTGAGAAATCTGCGCGCGCGTGCATCGAAAGGATTAAGATAACTGCGGGAAGAAAGCATAGCTTAGACTATAGCTTATACTAGAAAAAATACTGCTATCACATTAGTTTAAATGCGTTTCTGAGCTATTTTAGTAGGCTAAGCGCTGCAGTCATTTTTTAAATCAGTTTATTAACTGATTGAATACATTTTCGATTATTTTTCCATTATGTTAACTTTAAGCAATGGATTTCTCCGTGCTTTTGAATTGCAATTTCGATAAGTAAGTTTTTATGATGCGGCTTTTGATCCTTAAAATATTTGGATCACAGAGAAGATTAGGAGTATCCTAGAAGAATTACGCTTATTTGTTGATAGAAAATACTGGGGATTTGCGTGCAACGAAGTGTTCAAAGTCGCGACCAGAAGATAAAAGCTGGTGCGAAAATCATGCTTTTCTCAACGGATGGATATGCTATTTTGAGCTAATACGTGTTCAAAGTTTTTCAATCTGCAACGAGACGGACAGACAGAGAAAGCATGATTGAAAGGAAGGTGGAAGGAAGCAAGGAAGCAAAGAATGCAAAAAGAAAAACAAAGAAAGAAAAAATGAATGAATGAAGAAGAATAAGGAAAACAAAAGGAGTGGGGAAGAGAAGAAAGGAGAGAGAAGGCCAAAAGGGRAAAAAAAAATTAATTAAAACATTTTCAAACCGCAAACCGATAGATAATTCATTTCTACGGAAAAGAAACAAAGCAAAGATCACGAGGAGGTTATAGTCATAGTTATTTTCAATTAATTTTTAGAATTTTTTTTWWWWAAATTTATCACATCTTTAGCATTATTTTTCAAACATATGAAAACTATGAAGTGCAAGAAATTCCTGTCGGCGTCGGGAAACAACCATGGTTAGACGCAAACTGGGCATGGGATTATCCATTATTCTACAGCTGTGTGTTAACGAGATGCGGTCAAATTAGGCTCAAGTCTTTACCCTTAGGTCATTCATTAATTCACGCAAGTCCCGATCCATTGTCAACATTTAATATTTATATAATTATCCACCCTCTAACGAATTGTCTTGATTTTACCCTCTCTCTTGCCTTTATAGCCTCTCCAAAATATGACTATTTCTAATTTTTTTAAGGTTCCCGATTATTTTCATCCTCAACTTCATTTACAGGGCATGTTCATTTATTTATTTACTCCTTAACTAGTTTTCTTAATCTCATTACGTTTTAACGAGATCGTGGCACTTATTCCCGATGGATTATCGTACTTCTGATAGTTATTCCCTAGGCTAATATTAAAGTCAATTCCTTAAATTCACGGTTTTCATTTGCATGCCAATCACTCATTCTTCCTTCTACACATTTTGAAATTATATTCCTTCCTCTAGGCCCAGGAATTTCACAGTTTTCTTTTCATAAATGAAAAATGCACTCATAAGTCACAAATTTTGAATCATTTATATCATTTATATGTATTCTAACTCATTCCAGTAGAAAAAAAAATTTTTTTAATCTTATTTTTCTTAACGCCATCTGGTTTGATAGTATGGGTTTTTGGTGCCCTTAATGTCACAGACACTGTCATTTGTTTTTTAAGTGTTCGATTAAAACCGGCTTATTTTTTTATAGAATATGCTTAACTTTTCATCACTAACCTACCAAAACATCTTTTATCTGTTGAGTCCTGAAGCAAACTGTGGGCTGATCTAAGTCAGCTAGACATACACGGGTATAGCTCATAGAGCAAGTCCTGAAACGACCACCGGTCTGATCTAAATAGAAGGGCACGGCTATCTCACAGACATAGAACCTTAACATACAGATTAAATTTAAATTTAAGGTGTTGGGTTTTGCATTTACCTCATTCACAGAGGTTAAAAATGAATACAATATATATATTCTTAAATCAGAAACCGATAAAATGGAATCAAAGAAGCTTCTCGCCATCCTCGTCATTTCCTGCGTCTTGGTAACCCTGTGCTTCCAGACGACCGAAGCCCAGTCTCTCAGGTGGGGACGTGAATTCGGAGACAAGTACCCTGAGGCACGAGAAATAAAGGAATTTCTTCAGAGGGATGCCAACAACAAGAAAAGGGGTAAATAATCACTTTATTATTTAACTTCTGTACGACCTCCAATGTAGAAACCGCTGTCCCGAAAGATTGTTTTTCTTGTGACGTCATGGCGGCCATCTTGGATTTCCGTTCGAAAACGTTTTTCAATTTAACTGCCATTTAGAGATAATTCCTATAAAAAAAAAAGATAAACATGATTGTAATGACGGACAACACTTCCTTGTACACGTAATCCTACATGGCTGCTTTGATCACCATGCAAGCACAACTGTAAAGAAAGTTGTTATTTTTGAATATGAATTGATGAGTTTTTCTTCTCGTTGCAGAGTACAACTACAACAGAAGTTGAAAAGAGGCAATCAACGCGGATACGACTTAATTAATCACAATAAGTGTTCATATGACAAAAGTAAATAAATAAATAATAGAATTATGTTACGTAGTAAAGACAAATACCGCTCTCTGTAGAAGATGGAGTGATTATTAGTAATGCTGAAGAACAAAATACAGAAGCAGTGAATAAAGCCTGATTTATTCAGAAACATTTGCTTGATGACTTTGTTACTATTTTCCCACCGCCAAAGTAGCCATTGAAGCTAGTCTATGCCGAATAGTATCATGCTTTTTGGGTTTGATACGAAGGCAAAGCATTGCGCATGTCCGCGGGTCTGTGATCATAAGTACCTATTCAATTACGCTGGTAAATATGAAATTTAGACCCCAAATGCTAAGTTACGACGTACGCCCAGTTAGTGACCATAAGTACCTAT